ACATCATCCTTGTCTTAGTCCGGACCTTCAGCGGCTTGCGCAATTCTTCTGCTCGAGGGGCGTCTACGAGGCAGCAGAGATCTATGTTGACGGGAGGGCAGACGCGATCATATTGGCCGAAGCTGTCGGGTTGCGGCAGCGAGCATCTGCGGTCGTCGGCCGGATAACGGTGGTAGTTAATTTTAGTGGAGATCTCACGGTGATCCCCCTCTGCCGACACACGAGAATCAAGGTGGCGTTGCTGCTGTGGGTGCACAATCTTCAGAACGAGTGGACCCAGCTCCTGACGCATCGAGGGGACGTGATCACACCAATCCGAGCGATCGAATACAACGGCCTTCGGCTGGATCGGAGTGACCTGCCGACACAATTACCCCTTCTCATCCCCTTCCATCCCCGATGAGCTCCTTCCCGATCTCTACTTTCGAGCTTCCTTCTTCCTTACCCACCTTTCGGCAATCTGATCTTCATCCCCGCCTCTCCTTCTGCATAAATCATCTGGTTGTTCCTCTCCTCGATCCCTCTCAGTGGGACGCGTGGCGCAGAGACTTCATCGAACTCTCACTGTGTTTGGTGGAAGTACGGATGGCGTGGACGAGGGACGAGAGAAATTACCCGCGGTCTGAGCGATGGGAGCTCCTTTTGATTCAGGCATGGCGGACAGAAGTAGAGGGGGACCTTCTCGGTTTTCTATTCGGGTCAGTGCGTCCAGGCCGTCGGAGGCTCCTCACCCAGGAGCTTACGGTACCGATTGCGCAGCTGGCCCACGATCTTGACGTCAGCATTGTCTCCCAGGTCGACCCGTGCGTGGTGCCCCACGTCACCTCGCGCACGCTGTCGCCGTACCTTCAGTGGTCAGCTTGCGTGGAGGGCTTCCCATCGAGAATTCCGCCTTCACGGTTGGATTATTTGGATCCGCGCGACATCGTGGATCCCGCGTTTTACAGACCGCCGTACGAGGACGAATTGGAGGAGATAATCCGTGAAGAGCTCGCGGAAGAAAGTTCGGAGGAAGAGGAGGAAAATCCGAACGAAGACGAGGGGGAGCTAGCACAGCAGCAAGAAGGAGAAGAAGACAAGCTCCTGCAAACAGAGAACGAAGAGGAAGAAGAAGAAGAAGACAGCGAGCAAGGGAGCGGTGACGACAACGACGAGGAGCACGCCGACGAGGATCCCCAGCTAGAAATTGCAGCGGTTGCTGATCTTCAGATCAGCAACGATCCAACGCTCGACCCGGAGCCACCTCAGCCAGGCGACGACGATGTGGCCCAGATGGTTGGGCCGTCCGTTCGCCGGCCTCCTTCCCCACCGCGACACCGACGACGAAGCCGCTCCCCCTCCGCCTCCCTCTCCCTCGCGGCCCGTCCCGCACTTCGAGCACGTCGAGATGAGGCCGATCGGTTTTCGTCCTCGGGCTCTCTCTCTCAGACCCCATGACTTCCTCACCCTGCGCCATCTCACCCGTTCCGCCGTCTTCCCCCGCAATCCCTTCCCCTGCGACGCTTTCCATCATTACTTCTCCATCCGTCTTTCTGTCACAATCCATCTCCATTCATCCTCCCGGCGTGCTTCCCTTGAGTTCCCTCTCCATGTACTTCTTTTTAGCATAGGATGGCATCGTATCAACGCCGTAGAGGTTTATCGCCTCATTACGGGGTTAATCCCCGCATGCGCCGACCGCGATCGCTTTCATGCGCTTCTTAGAACCTTCACCACTCCCTATCCCGACTACCTCGCTTGTCTCCCCACTACTGGCTGCCGATTTCCCCGCTTCCATAGAATCGTCCATCATTGGAGCCTTCCGGAAACGGACGATGAGCTGGAATGTTTCTTCCCGCCTATCCCAACTCATCCCCCATCAACACCTCCGCCTGCCTATCATCTTCCTTTTCCTCTTCCCCACGAGTGACGACGACCAGGATACGACTGCCGCGCAGCATGACTTCCACACTCGTTGGCACGGTATGCGGCAGAAAAGAAGATCAACCATCCACGGCCAATCAATCGAAGATGATCGACACGTCTGCTAACAAGCAGGAGCTTGCTTATCTTTGGAACCCCCTGTGTGTCACATATATGACGAACTAGCTTCTGTAATGCGCGACTTTCTGCGCGAAGTGCTAAGCGGGGTCCCATGTCGATTGGACGGGTTGATGGAAAATTGCATGTGTGTCCTTGCTTTCTTCGTTGTTTCTTCGTCCGCACACGAGCCCCTGATGACAGTTGGGGACAATTCGGGAATGCACGGGGAAAACGAGGCGAAACTTGGTCGGATGGATGCGGAGTGCGTGCCGAGTGCGTGATTAATAAACGTTGACGTCGCTTCTTTTTTTTCGTTTCCCTTCTTTTAATTTTGTTTTGTCGAACTTTTGGGCGCGCAGACATCGCGCAGGAATTTCGGTGTCTCTTTTTGAATTTCCTTCTTGAATTTTCGTTTCGAATCTTGGTCGGAGCCATACGGCCTTCGGAATTTTGATTTTCTTTTTCGGACCTTTTCATCGGCAGGCTAGCTAGGAATTTAGGAATTTTGAAATTTCTGTTCTTTTGGGGCGCTGCTTTGCGTGTTCGCGCGCTGTAATCTTCAATCAACTCTCTCTCATCATGCCTACTCAGTCTTTTGTCATACCCCTTTATAGTACCTCGAATCATAAAATATCGAGTCAGGTCTATAATCTCATAATCAAATTGCATCGCTTATAGTTCACTGTTGATCCTTCTTGCAAGAGAGACCCGTTCCCGAGAAGCGTGGTATGATACTCTCTCAGTAGTTCCCACCTTCACCAACTTTAGCAAATAACTTATCTCAGTCTGATCGGTGACAATTTTCAGGGCAAAATCTCTCATACGATCAAAGAAAGGCTGCAAGAACTCAAGCTCATCCAGGGTAGAAAGATTCCTATCAGAGCGAAGAGTCTCTTCTACCTTGACTATTTTACCCTCCAACACAACTCCTAATGTTAGATGTTCAGTCAAGCTGGTCATCGCTAAATGTCATAAGCAATATCTGAAAGGTAGATCTCAGGTTGAATAAAACCGGGGATCTCGAATCTGTGTTCAAAGGTACTCAAAAGTAGGGATTTCATCATCACATTGGAGTCTTTCTCCCTTGCTCTACCAATCTCAGCAATAGCTTCCAACAGAGGCATCCAATCTCTCCTGCCTTCAAATCCCTCAGCAATTGAGAACTCAGGAAGCCTCTCAAATTGTCTTACTTCTTTCTCCCAGGTTACTTTTCTCTTTAACTTTTCAGGTCATTCCTTGGTTCTTATGAGACTACTATAAACACCTGTCTGACACTTCAAGTAATCGTCTTCCTTTTCTAGGCCTGTTGATACATAGATCCTCACGTCCAGGCTGCCAGTACTCAGGAATTCGACCACTAGAAAGTGAAATATTATGGACCCTCTTACACAAGTCTCATACCTCAGGATCACAAAAAGGATTATCACAACCTATCACCTCATAGAGTTTACCCCTCACAATAGTCACCCTGGCTAACGAGAGTATTCTTCTTGAGCTCTCTTCACTTTCCATGCAAACTTTATCATGACATACCAATTGTCTTTAGATAGATTAATATCAAGTAAAGGAGGGATTGAGAGTCCATCAAAGACAGTAAATCGAGTAGATCCAGTGAAGCATTTGTTCTCTCTCTCAAGCCTCTCCTTCTCTTTCAGTACTAGCTCTTCAGCAAATCCTCAGCATCTCCCATATACTGCATCAGCACTTCTTTCTTTTGGAACATAGATTCTTACGTCATACACATCCAGGTCTGTGAAATAGAATGTCAGTACATATAATTGTTCTTGCTCCCATCCGCTCTCGACCATCTCATACCTGACAACTTCATACGGGAACACCCCTTTCTTGCTTAGAGTGTTCAGTGACTTTAGGAGACACTCAACTTCCTCCTGACTTGGGTCTGAACCTCTGCCGAATTTCTGCCTTCTCTATCTGATTTCTTCTACTGAAATATCTTAAGTTCTCATGACCACCGTTTCTTTTCCCCCTTGTCAATACCATGTTGATTATCGGCAGCCAGTTAGTCTCATCACAACAGCTGTCAGGTATAGGAGGAATCGGAACAGTCTCATATGTCACTGACATTAAACCCCATTCCACTTTCTTCTTCTGCTTAATTAATTCTGCCTTCTCATCATAAAGAGACTGGATTGCAATTTCCCATAACCAGTTGAAGGTTTCACCGTCGTTACAGTCTCCCTTCTTGACATAGGGACGGATATCATAAATATCTCCCTCCAAGAAGCGAGTCAGCACTACGCTGATGGCCGAATTGCCTGAACGCTAGACCCAACAATACTCATATTGATAGGAGAATATTCCTTTGGTAGTTCCTTTGAAAGTTCTCAATGCATCAGAAGTTAGCTTTCTTGATGAATTCCCCGAGCTCTTGATTTTTCCTTTCCCTTCTCAGTATTCAGAAGACGTCATAGTCGCATGAGGCATACCTGAATTCAAGTCTGATTCACCCCAGTCAATAATATCAGTCTCCTTCTCCAGTCTAGTGTGGTACCTCACATAAGAAAGAAATAAGACACAGTTAGCAACCGTGACTCTCTGGAGAATCGAGACTCAATGAGAATAATAAAATCAATAGGAAGCTCACAACGTTGTCAACAGTTCTCACGTTCTAATCAAAACTCGAAGATGATGATGACCCAGGCTCGTTTCGGACACGAAAATTTTTTCATGTCCCCAGCAACGGCGTCATTTTTGTCGCACTTTTTCAGTCGAGCCTCTTTGGGCGACCAGAAAGCCAACAGGCTGTCATGCAGGATTTTTGTGTGTGTCTGCAATAAATAAAATAAATTAAATAATGCAAATCCCTTCCTGTTGTATGCGTCCGACTTCGAGCGAGACCCTTCAATTGCGATCTTCGTCGGTCCCCGGTCTTGGGAATCTTTTATTTTGATTCGGAATAGCAGAGAATTATGCAAATAACAATTATAAAATTATGGGGGGGGGCTATGCATGGATCACTTATGTCAATCTGATTTTGAGAACTGTGACAGAATCATCCACGATAGCAATCATCAGGCAAGATTAATGCAAGAAGCAAGACTGACTGACTCGAGCAATGACAGATTCAAATGAATGAGGGAAGAATGAGAACTCATGATAATCTTAGAAAGTACACATATGCGAGCATGGTCAGCACCTCTCAAGAATCCTCACTCATCCCCCTGATCGGTCTCTCTCAATCTCTCATTTCGTGGTTCATCTCTGGTGTTGTGACCCACGACCACGTACAATATGAGGTTGAGGCCTCATAACAAAGAGTCACCTGAAGCCAGCAAACTCTGAACATGATCATCCAAGGTACATGACACGAAAATTAACCATAGAGCAGAACTTCTCCCACAGTGTAGGCAGTCCGTCCACTGAAAAGACCCCTCGTCTGAGGTAGGGATACTCGGTAGGCTCAGTTAGTGCCTCAATGTCGATTACTGCTGGAGAGATATACCTTTTCGCTAAGCTAACCATGTCAAGCCAACTCGTGCCATCTATGAGGAGGGAAGGAACAGGAGGCTTGGGAAAGTCAGTATAAAGCTTTGGGCCAAAACTGCGGATCAGCGTAATGCCACCCTCATCGAGCTCCCTCTCTCTCTACTCGAGGTACTTGGCGGTTGTGATCCAGACTGGATCGAAATGCTTATAAGCCTCCTTGCCCTTCTTCATGTATGGCCTCAAGTCAAGGAAACTCTATCTACAAACCAAATGTAGCATATGATCTGATGAGACCGATTCTAAAGTCATCTCGCATGTGACCCAGAAGCGCGGGAAGGTGTGTGATAGTTGTCATGATTTGCACTTTTCTTCTATCCTTATCCTTGTTTGCACCCCGATTCATTGTCTCGTGACTCCCACCCATCGGCCATACCTGTATGGGTTGTCGAGTTCAGTATTAGACCAGATTCCTCCCTGTCTCGCACGTGTCAATAACGACTGGTGTGACCGCTCATAAGCCCCTCATCCCCGTGTTAAGTGCACCAAGGTTACAGAAAGCTCTTTGGTAAGATCGTACAGGCTGTAGTTTCCGCTCTGAGTCCTTTCATGCTAAGGCAAGTGGCTTCAAACTCAACTTAGCAGCAAAAGTTAGTGGGACCTACAGTCCCCGATGAAGGTAAGCCTTCTCGCCCTTTCTAATTGACGGGTCCGTGTTCGCGCCATCTCGGTGGCTCGACTGAGAGTGCAATTGGTAACCCTCCGCTAACAGAGCGAATCAACCAGGAACACCCTTATTACAGCAGAGCGACAAGGTTATTTTCCCTACACTAGAGATGTCGAGCACAGAAAAGGTACAATCTGCCACTGAGAACTTCCATGCGCGCTCGTCTCTCAGGTCATGTCACGTACGTAAGGCTCAKCCTTAACCATACTCCTTCCCTGACGATCTCTAAACTGCATTGACTCAGATCACACACGCGAAACGAGAGAAGGAAGATRAACTCACTCCTACGATCCCGGAGTCAAACAGTGGATCATCGAGAACCA